AGAACTTTCTCAAAAGAAGAAATTCAAATGTCAAAAAAACACATGAAAAAATGTTCACCATCTCTAGCAATAAAGGAAATGCAAATTAAAACCACACTAAGATTCCACCTCACCCCTGTTAGAATAGCCATCATCAGCAACACCACCAACAACAGGTTTTGGTGAGGATGCAGGGAAAAGGAACCCTCTTACACTGTTTGTGGGAATGTAAACCACTCTGGAAAAAATTTGGAGGTTACTTAAAAAGCTAAATGTTTATCTACCATATGATCCAGCAATACCACTCTTGGGGATATACCCAAAGGACTGTGACACAGGTTACTCCAAAGGCCCCTGCACACCCATGTCTATTGCGGCACTATTCACAATAGCCAAGTTATGGAAATAGCCAAGATGCCCCACTACTGACGAAGAGATCAAGAAAATGTGGTATCTATACACAATGGAATTTTATGCAGCCATGAAGAAGAACGAAATGTTATCATTCGCTAGTAAATGGATGGAATTGGAGAACATCATTCTGAGTGAGGTTAGCCTGGCCCAAAAGACCAAAAATCGTTATGTTCTCCCTCATATGTGGACATTAGATCAAGGGCAAACACAACAATGGGATTGGACTTTGAGCACATGATAAAAGCGAGAGCACACAAGGGAGGGTGAGGATAGGTAAGACACCTAAAAAACTAGCTAGCATTTGTTGCCCTTAACGCAGAGAAACTAAAGCAGATACCTTAAAGCAACTGAGGCCAATAGGAAAGGGGACCAGGAACTAGAGAAAAGGTTAGATCAAAAAGAATTAACCTAGAAGGTAACACACATGCACAGGAAATCAATGTGAGTCAATGCCCTGTATAGCTATCCTTATCTCAACCAGCAAAAACCCTTGTTCCTTCCTATTATTGCTTATAGTCTCTCTACAACAAAATTAGAAATAAGGGCAAAATAGTTTCTGCTGGGTATTGAGGGGGTGGGGCGGAGAGGGAGGGGAGGGGGTGGGGGGAGGGGGGAGAAATGACCCAAGCCTTGTATGCACATATGAATAAAAAAAAAAAACGAATTAACCTAGAAGGTAACACACATGTACAGGAAATTAATGTGAGTCAACTCCCTGTATAGCTATCCTTATCTCAACTAGCAAAAACCCTTGGTCCTTCCTATTATTGCGTAAACTCTCTCTTCAACAAAATTAGAGATAAGGACAAAATAGTTTCTTCTGGGTATCGGGGTGGTAAGGGAGGTGGTGGGGGCAGGGGGGTGAAATGACCCAAGCATTGAATGCACATATGAATAATAAAACAATAAAAATTAAAAATTAAAAAAAAAAAACAAGATGAATGTCAAGTTAATTCCTACCAAACAGATTACAATGACTTTTGCTTTTTATGGTTTACACATCTGTATCATCTGAATTTTTTGAAGTTTAAAAATTCTTTTATTACTTATGAAATTTTATTATAAGTGAATTGTTCCTTCATGTTGCTAGACCAGAGCTCCTTGAAACCTAAGATCAGAACACTGAATTAAATGATTTTATTTTACTCTCAGAGAAAAGCAAATGAAACCTTTTTTCTTGATCCTTGGTCCAAATTCCACTTCTGAATGTGATTATGTAATCAGATGTGATTTAGCCTACTCACCATGACTTGGCTAACTGCATTCATTAAGAGATACTGAGTCAATGATTGCTCAAAGAACTTGTTTGACTTGGGGTAGCCAGAGCTTGTTTTTTTTTTTTTTTTCCTTGTGGAGCTGGGGACCAAACCCAGGGCCTTGCACATGCTAGGCAAGTGCTGTACAAGGAGCTGCATCCTTAGCTCAGTCTGGCCAGATCTTCTCCATACTTTCCGTCTCATGTCAAGTGAGTTAATGTTTGAGACATCTGGGCTCTTGGTACCTTACTTCTCTAATTCTTAATTTACAAAGTCTGTTCACACCTGCATTTTTATTAGCTCTTATAATATCCAAAACAACAGATGTTTTTTCTCATATTTGATTACCTGATATATCTGAAATGTGTTTTGCTCACAATAGGTGCTCAGTAAGTATATTTTCTGAATGAAAAAAAAGCAAGGAATGGAAGAGGGGAGGAAAATGCAGATGTCTGAGGGCTGCGCTGTTAGCCAGTACTTTACGCCCCATGTCACACTTATCTTTACCATAACCCTGTTTGGTAGCTTATTGGTCACTGCAGTTCTGCAGACAGTGCTCTAAAATCCAAGCCAAAGGTGCCAGGCTAGCTTTGGGAGCTCTCACCCCACCCTACATGGCCAGGGGAATTCTTGACCAATGGCCATGACAGTCCTCCCCTCAAAGAGGACTGGAAGAAAGATGGACATGGTGAGATTTCAAGGGGAACCCTGTGCACAGGCTCAGCCTGGTCCGTTCCCAGTTGAACCATCACTCGATGGTTCTGGAAGCCAAAGCTGCTGTGCGACTGTCCCTGCTGCCATGGAGCAAAGTCCAACACAGGAAGTCTAGTGCTGGCTGACTGCTCAATAACCCAGATGTCTTTCAACTTCTCAACTGAGTGGCTTTCTTTTCTATAGGTGCAGAAAGTTTGTTCCACCACCAGCAGCACCTCCTTATTCCAGGCAGGGAAGGGCAAAGGTAAAAACATGGATGTCTACTGAATCAGTTGCTTTTTATTTTACTTAGGAAAACAATTGTTTTCTGAAAAGCTGTGGTGCCTAGGCTAGTGTCAAACTCACTATCCTCTTGCCTCTGCTTGACAAGTGCTGTGACTATAGGAGTGTACCACCCTGTTCCACTTCCTGTTTATGTGTTATTGGCTAGAGTCATATCATGACCAAGCCAAAAAGAAGGCTGGAAAGTGGAGTTCTTTAACAGCACAATCTGTCACACAGAAAGAAAATTGGTTATTTGTGTGGTACAGACAAAAAGAGAACTTGGATATTAATAGGAAACCGGCATGGTCTACCTCTTGGATACACAAGCATGAGATGTTTTCTAAAGCCCTTATAGCTGGCTCTCTACCTTAATCACATGTGTTTGTTACATTGCAGTACTCTGGTAGAGAATAAAGGAAGCTATAAAATCTGTGCCCCAATTGGGAAAGGACAAGTTTTAGTTGGATCTCACCACTTGGGCCAAATGTCAGAGAAAGTGGAAGGCTGGATTCACGTATCCATTACAGAATCTTACTTTTGTGTACCCTGCTAAGAAGATGAGAAGGGTGTTGTGATTTCTTCATTGTTTGTGTTTGATTGTGGTAGGTTCTTCATGCTCATCAGAGTTTGTGGTTCATTATAATTCTCTCTCATTATACGCCTTAAACATTCTCATTCCTATAGGGGGATTAATGTTGTATGATTAGTATGTGTTCAACATGTGTTTTTCACATGTTCTTATACAATTTGCAGGGTGGGCAATATTTTTATTTATAGAAATGGTATTGAGTATGCACGTCATTCTGTTTCTCGCTTTTCTACTATGGCCTTGCTCTCAGGATTCGTCCACAGTGCTTTACCTATGACCAGTGCTGCTTTTGAGTGCTACATGGTACCCTTGTGTGCATCCACCTAATATCATCCACACACTCTGCTATAGGCTGAGTTGGGTTGTGTTCCCCACACACACACACAAACCATGTGTTAAAATCCCATTCTACTACCTCAGGATGTACCCATGTTTGGAGAGAGGTCTTTGAAGAGCCAATTAAAGTTAATGATGTCAGATGAGTGACCCCAAACCATGTGACTGTATTTGAAATAGGCCCTCACAGGAATGATTAAAGAAACCAGAGGGTTTCAGGTGGGATTCTACTCCAGTGTGACCAGTGTCCTCATTACAAGTTAGATGCCAGGGATGTGCAAGACAGAGGAAAGGCCAGGTGAGGACATAGGCAGAAGGTGGCCATCGGCAAGCCAAGGAGCACATCCTCAGGAGAAACCAAACCTACACCTTGATCTTGAACTTTTAGCCTCCATTACTTTGAGAAACTAAATTTCTGTGGTGTAGACCACCCAGCCTTTGGTAGTTTGTTATGGCAGTCCTAGTAAACTGAAAAATACACTCTCAGGGACACCCAGCTTTCTTTCAATTCCTTCATTAAAAATCTTTTGAAGTCAGCAAACAACTTTTGCTGTGAAACTGACAAAACTGTCCAGCTAACATCTGATCAGTACTTAATGCTTCCTCACATGGAAACCTGAGAAGTCTCTCTTGGGTTTTCTGATCTTTCTCTTTGTGACTTGTTAATTGCAAACCTGTCAAGGAGAAAATAGGAATCCTACATCCAAGGCACACAATAGGGCTAGGTACCCTGGCACAGAGGTAATTTGCTCTCATTGGATTGACAAAAGATAAAACAATGTCATCACTCCTGACATGGGCTTATCTCAGAACTGTAGATATGGACAAACACAACATTGAGGAGTAAATTCTCTTATGCCCAAAATATGGAAATACAAACTAATGAGTTGTTATCTGTTTATTTGGAGAGAGGTCCATGTTGTTAACTGGGAGGGAGTGGGTAAATACCATCTTTAGAATAATCTTATTTGTGTAAAAATGAGGGGGAAGTCTTCTCTGTACATTTCTGAAGGATCAGGAAGAAGGGCGTGAAAGACAAAAGGGAAAATAGTAACGGTAGTTATCTCAAGGAGGGGTAAAAGGAGATTGGGGGCAGTTTGAAATTCCGTGCGTTGTTTCACTTTCTACTACATGGCTGACAAAGGCTGGGCTCGGATTTGGTGGTATGTAATTGATTACAGTGTGAGTTGCTGAGGATTTATTTGGGCCAGCGGAAATGTCAAAGGCTTACTGGGATCTAGTTTACTGAACATTGACCGAATGCCTGTACTAATCTAAGCACATCTAATCTTGATGCTTAACTCCTTTTATTCTGTAAAAAGACACTTAATTTTATTCTTCAACGCACACACACACACACACACACACACACACACACACACAGGAGCACTTGTTCCAAACTTCCAGAAGTAGCTCCGCCCTGCGGAAGCCCCACCCTCTCCCAACCAGCTAGAAATCCTGTTCCTGGGACCTGTGCAGCTCAGTCCACAAGGTTTCTCTGGAAGTGGCACGTGCGGACTCTGTGAGTGAAAACAACTTTCTTTTCCTACCTCTCCTGCTCCCGCCCAGCGGGGACGCCCCTGTGGAAGAGCGATCGATCGCACTTGGCCCTCCTCTGGTGCTGGGTACTGGCTGGGAACGGGGTGTTCCCAGCCTCAGGTCTCTGCAAGGCCTTGTGGAGCGTGGAGCCTGAGCTGGGCTCTGCAGGGACAGGCGAGGTCCTCTCGCCCTGCGAGTGCAGCCGCTGGGACGCGCCGACTGCGAACTCCGGGTGCAAAACTGTGGCGGGTGCGGAGGGGACGGGTCTGCGGGAACTCGGGCGCGCGCTCTGTCTGCGGGGTGGAGACTCGCGCCATTGCGCTGGCCCTTCCTGGGCGGGCAGGACAGTCTGGTCCCCTCTGCCAGGGAGCTGCGGGCTTGGGGCGAGGCCTGAGTCACCAGCGGGGGCCATGTTGGGGAGAGACGCAAAAGTGTGTGGACTCTTGAATCAACAAGGCAGTAACAAAAAGGAGACCCAGAAGGGGAGGAGAATGATGGTTCCTGAGGCGGGGAGGGGAGTTGTTGGTAAAGGTCACAAAGTGTCACATAGGACTATTGCGCAGCAGCAAACACAACAATAACAATGTCATTACCCGATGTAGAGTTTATGGAACTTACTGAATATTGACCATGTGTCTGTACTAAGCTAGCACTCGATTTATCTCTAAAATGTCGTTTTATTTTATTCATAATATTTTATTTATAAAATAATATACATTTCACAATAAAGAGGTGAGTTTCAAATGTCTCACCATAGATGTGGTGGTTAAGTAATGGGTGTGTTACTTGGCTAGGTTTAATCACTCTGTGATGCTTTCTTTCAAGCTAGGGTGTCCCAAATTATTTGCCTAGAGAGGCTTCCAACCCTGATCTTCCTTATCTCAGCCTCCTGAGGCACCTGGCAAGAATAATATTTTTTTAAGAAGAATGAGCTAGGTTTGGATTTTTCTGCCCCCATTACTCCCCTCTAGCTTGGAGTAACCCCTTTGTCCTGTCCATTGTTCCCTCCTGCCAGGAGAGTCCTCTCTGTCCTGTCCACTGTCCCCCCCAGCCTGGAGTGTCTCCCATGTCCTGTCCAGGGTCATCTCCAGGGCTTGTGCATGGTACTAACTGGAGAGGCAGACGTGGCTTTCATGTGATGTGGGGTAGCTCAGTCCTCAAAGCCCTGACCCCAGCAAACATGACAGCCTTAATCACCATCTGGCACTGTTTTTCTTTCATTGTTTTTACATTTACTTACATGTGTATACATTGTTTGGGCCACCTCTTCCCCCACTTCCCCGCCCTCAAGAAACTGATCCACCCTATTGTTTGCTGATTTTGTTGAAGAGAAAACATAGGAGATAATAAGAAAGACACATCGCTTTTGCTAGTTTGAGATAAAGATAGCTATACAGTGAGATTCCTAGCATTGCTTCCATGCACTTAATTACTTTCTCTGGACTCTGTATGGAGACAAGTTTAAAGTCAGGTCCTTCATTTCCTCATTGGGGCCAAAACCAGGACATTCCTCCTGAAAATGAGGGAACAGCAGTGTCACCCAAGGGCTCTCGGTGTCCCGAGGCCGGCTTAGGTTGAAACGCTCCTTCCATCTGAAATAGGAGTGTGGACTGTGTGTGTGGTCCTGTGTGTTTGTCCCTTTTCTGAGGATTCACTTCATGATAGGTGAGAAACAGAGTATTTGCTGTTCAGTGCCCTAGAGAAACTCTAGCCCAACCCTGCCTGGGAAGATGTTCTGTGTTGGTTTACATTTTTCCTTACCTTGGAGGTTTCTTTATGCCTCAGTTTCCCCATGTGTGTACCTACAGTGATGACAAAGTCTCATGGGGAAGTCATGGGGATGAAATGCAATCATAAAGTGCTTGGCACAGCCCCAGAAGCAGTGATTACTAAAGCTGTGTGGCTGAGTTAATGTAAAACCTGAAACTTAGAGAGGCACTGATGGTGTAATCCTAGCTATTTGGGAGGCTGAGAGTGGGGTATCATGGTTGGAGGGCAGCCCCACAAGAGGTTCATAAGACCCCATCTCCAAAATAGCCAGAGCAAAATTAACTGGACATGTTGTTCAATGGGTAGAGTGCCTGCTTAGCAAGCAGGAAGCCCTGAGTTCAAACCCCAGTCCCGCCAAAAAACACTCCTGTAATATAGAAAGTACTACAGGAAAACACTTCAAGATATAAGCCTGGACAAAAGCTTCCAATAGTAGTAAGAATTGACAAATGAGATTGCATCAAATTAGAAAGCTTTGGCACAGGAAACGATTACCAAAGTGAAGACACAGCCTACAAAGTTGGAGAAAATATCTGACAGCTATTCCCAACAGGGGATTAATACCCAGAATATGTAAAGAGCTCAAAAATTTAACACCAATCAATAAACGGGTAATGAACTGAACAGATACTTCTCAATACAAGTACAAATGGTCAATAATTACATGAAATAAGTTCAACCTCTTTAACCATCAGGGAAATGCAAATCAGTGGTACACTGAGATTCCATCTCACCCCAGGCAGAATGGCTATCATAAGAATACAAAAGGAACTTAAGACTGGCAAGGATGTGGGGGAGAGGGAACCTTTACACCCAGTTGGTAGGAATGTAAATTACTGCAGCCTCTATTGGAATCAGTATGCAGGTTCCTTCATAAAGCTAAAACTAGAACTAACATATGATCTGCTTTACCAGCATAAAATAGACATGTGTGCAAACCAAGCTTATTGTGACAGTAGTCACAATCACCAAGTTACGGGATCAGCCCAGGTGCCCATCATGGATGAACAGATAAAGAACATGTGGTAACATACACAGTGGAGAATTATTCAGCCGTACAGAAGAAAGAAATATGTCATTTGCAGAAAAATAGAGGGAACTAGAGATTATGATGTTAAGTGAAGTAAGGCAAACCAACAAAGAAAGTATCACATGTTTTCTCTTAAATGTGAATCTGAGAGAGAGAGCATGAAATTGAAGGGGTACTATTACAGAAAAGGAAGGGGATGGAGAAGGGGAGGAGAGGATTGTGGGAGGTTGGACAAGATCAAAATGTGTTATATGCATGTGTGAAGTCACAATGAAACTCATTACTCTGTATAATTAATATGTGCTAGTAAGAAAGAAAAAGAATTTTGGTTGATGTTAAATGATCACATGACGAATGGTATGGTTGTGCTCTCTGGTCCACACAATGACTAAGGAACTGTTAAGACAAGCCACTGTGCAGCACTGAGCATATGTTTACTGTGTTCTAGAAGCTTCAAGATGGTGCATGCTAAGAGCTGGACCCTGAAGAAGCACTTTGAAGGCCCCCCTACCAGTAGTAACTTTGAGCTCAAGACTACTGAGCTCCCACCCTTAAAAAATGGAGGTAAGTCAGACCCCCAAAATTTCAGATCAAAACACTGTCTCAGTGAGCCTTTTTTGCATCAGAAACCATCTCAAACTTAGTGACATCACACAACAATTGCTTAGTAGTTTGCAATTCTGAGGTTTGCAGTTTGGCTTGGGTTAAGTTGAGTGATTCTTCTGTAGGCCTCATCTGGGTGATAGTAGGCTTTCTGCTGAAGAGCAGGCCTCAGTTATCTATCAGGTCCTCAGGCCAAGTTCATTTGAGCTCTATTCTCATAGAGGTCTCACAGATCTAGAGTGGCCTGAGCTGGGAAGCTTCAATGTGCAAGCACTTCCAAACCTCTCCTTGTGTTTGGTTTTTGCTAATGTCCCATTGGTCATGCAAGTCACAGAGCCACGACCAGATTCAATGGGTGGGAAATACATTTCTTTTTCTCATCTATTTTCTTTCTTTCCTTCCTTCCTTCCTTCCTCCTTCCCTTCCTTTCTCCCTCTCTCCCTTCCTTCCTTCCTTTTTTCCTTTCTTGCTTTCTTTCTATGTGTGTGTTGTTGCTGAATATTGGATTCAGTGCTCTGCATGCTAGGCCAGTGCTCTACCACTGAGTTACATCCTCAACCCCTCAACCTCTGCAAACACATTTCTTGCTGGGAGGAGTACCCAAGAAGCCAGCACACATGGGTGGGAGGTATTGTACAATCTGCCACTGAGGTTTTTGAGGTCCTCTAGATGAAGTCTTCATGTCATCTTGGAGGACCCCTTCCTTTCTTTGATGATAGAAATTCATGCTTTTGTGCACTGCCCAGATAATGGGAAAGGTGTTCTCTCTGCCCTAGTCATCCAGCCCAGCAGCCCTGTGTAGAGTTCGGACTACAAGAGGTGTCTATGAGGGATATTTATTGGTAGATGAGCTTTTGAGAGAAGGAGATGCAATCCAGTAGCATGGCATAGGTACCAATGTCATTTAAGTGGTGCTGACCGGGACTTGGATTCAATATTCCAGCAAGAGTGTACATGAGGATTACTTTCAGCAAAGAACACATTCTTTGGCCCTAACTGGAGTCGCTAATGTAATCCTAGGTGAGCATGGTGACAGTGGTTGCAGATGTGGCCCTGAGCACGTTACTCCACCTAAACTTCTATGGAATGGAAACAGTAGTTGACAGGGAAATACTCATGTAATGCCATGTCACTTCCATTTTTCCTTTTCTTATCATCATCACCATCACCAAGAATTTGGCTAGGCCAAATGTGAGAGCCCTTGTGTCTTCAATAGAACACACAGATGAGGGGCTGGGAATGTAGCTCAGTGGTGAGTGCTTGCCTAGCATGCACAAGGCCCTGGGCTTGATACCCAGCACTGCAAAAGCAAGAAAGAAAACAGCAAGCAAAGCCACAAGTCAGCACAAATGACAGGGAAACCCTGAAGCAAATGGATAACCTGTGTTTATTGAGAATGTCCAAAAGCCACAGGCCTCAGGCTTTGCACTTCTAATTTGCTATGACATGCTTTGTTTTTTAGAGGTGCTGCTGGAAGCTTTGTTCCTCACTGTGGATCCTTACATGAGGTATTACCTCCCTCCTAAAATTCTTATATTTTTGTGTCTGACCATATTTAGAAGTATTTTTAAAGTAAAAGCCAACTGAATCAAAATCTATCATTTCCCACTTATCTTAGTACCCGATCAGTGATGGGATTTCTGCCTGCTCATCCTTTGCAGGACAATGTATGACAAACTGGTGAGGGATTTTCCTGGTCTCTTTATTTTACAAATACAATTTGCCTTCCAGAGTTGCTTCCAGAGGGAAACAAAAAACAGAAAAGAAAAACAAATGTAAATGGTAACTCTCCACTTTATTGCTGACAAATAACTTGAGCATAGGTCAGATTATTTGACCAAAATGGGCTATTCTTGCCCTCGGTTGACCTGTATTCACTTAGGTAATCTGCAGTTCACTCAAACTTATACAAACTCAGTAAATGACTCCGGGGGAGAGTGGATAAAAGTAAGACCCTGTTTCAAAAAACAAACAAGACACTGCACATAACAAAATGTTGATTACTGTCCCTTTTGTTGTGGCTAGTGTTTTGGGGAACAAGAACCCAATAGATCCTGTGTTACATTTTTAAAGTCATGAATAGAAACACACCTTCATTTGACTGTAGTAGTAAGTTTCTTCATAGAAAAGTACTGCACAACACATCTTTATGGTCACAAAACAGAACTCTGCCAGCTTTTTAACTGGCTGTGCTGCCCTCGTGTATCTGGGTTCCATTTCTCCACATACTGCTATGCCCATAGTTTTCAATTTAGTTTAAATCTCAAGCCAGTTTGTCCAAGATGCTCTTAAGTACTAATAATGGATTTCTTCTTTTCCCAGAATAGCGGCCAAAAGATTGAAGGAGGGAGACACAATGATGGGTGAGCAAGTGGCCAGGTAAGAACTTAGGTTTATACCAGTTCTTGGAAAATCTGTCCCTTCTTCATTTCCTGCTCGGCCCTGTCTCTGTTCATTGAACCTGTAATTCCTTCAGCCTGTGTGGTTTACTCACTGTGTGATCCTGGAAATAATATGGGAACTCCTGCCACCTTCCCGACTAATTGAAAATGAGGAAAGGATGTTGTATTACTCCAACATTGATTGCTCTGACCAAATACCTAAGATATACAACTTAAAGGAGGAAGTATTTATTGTGGCTCATGGTTTCAGAGGTTTCAGTCTCTATTGATTCTAGGCCCATGGTGAGGCAGAACATCATGGTGGCAGGATGAGGTGGCAGACAGGATGCAGAGAGAATGCCTACATTAACAGCCTTTTTCTTTTTCCCTTTTTATTCCATCTGGGCCCCCAGCCTACAGAATGGTGCCACCCACAATCAGTGCAGATCTTTCTCCCTTATCAATCCTCTCTGGAACTGCCCTCACATAGGCACTCACAGTGCTCTTCTAATCTCTCAGGTGATTCTCAATCCAGTCAAGTTGACAATCAAAATTAACTCCCACAAGCCCATCCTTTGTCAACTTGACACTGAAACATATCCCTCTAAACCATAACATTTCACATCCATCTCCAGAAGGCTCATGTTCATCTTATAATGCCAATTGTATTTCAGTCCATTCAGTCCATCTCCAAGAGTCCTCTTTTTTTTTGTCAGTACTGGGGTTTGAACCCAGTGCCTCACTCTTGCTAGGGAGAGTCTTTACCATTTGAACCATGCCCCCATTGCCTTAACAGTTGGAACACTGGTCCAAAGCCCAATTTCAAAGTCTGCTCTGAGACTAAAGGCAAACTCTTAGCCGTTAGCTCCTGTGAAGTAAAAAACTTAAGTCACATTCTTCCACAATACTGAGTAAATATTCCCATTCCAAACATGAGCTATAGAAGAATAACAAGGAAGGATTAGACCATGGCAAGACTGAAACCCCACAGGGAAAACATTAAATCCTATTGTCTGGCATCTGGGGCACATAGTAATATGATCTGGCCCCAATGACCTTGGGCAACTCCGACTATAGCCTTGATTTTTTCAGCCCATATGTCCTCTCTCTTGGCCTGGCTCCATTTGTTGCGTGCAGCTTTCCTTGACAGATGTTCCTGGCATCTCTAACTTCCTGGGTTCTCCACTGCAACTTTGACTTCACCCTCACAGCTTCACACATCACTTCAGGGCTGCCTGCAGGGTCCTGACCCTGCCACATATTGCCTCACCTCTCAGATCATCCTTTGAAATATGGGTGGAAGCTTCCATGACCCTGTAACACTTACATTCTGCACACCGGCAAAAATACATCATGTGGGCAAAGCCGAGGTTTGCTGTCACCTTGAGCAGTAGCCAGGCCCTCTTGGACCATGGAGAGTAAAGTCTCAGTGCCTACGTGGTTGAATTGGAAAATAATTCCGTAGATGTCTCTGCACGAGCAGGGTGCACTGGAGTTCTCCTCTCAAAGCAAAGTCTCTCCAATGAGTTAAGTCTTTAAACCCTTGGTTCTGCAATGGGTAGGGCCACATTCCTGAGATGGCCTCTATAGTCCTGATGCCATTTGGCTTCTTTTTAATGACCCAGTTTCTTCAACAGCCACACCCTCCTTATCTTCATTATTAAAGGGGCTCCTTTTCCGGCCATACCACATGTTTTTAAAATCTTTCCCCTGTACTGTTTGCTCTCAGTTCTCACTATAAATGTGGCTAAAAGCAGCCGACAATAACCATGCCACAACCTGAGTGCTCAGCTGCCTTGAAATTTCTTCTGCCAGATGAACTAGCCCATCACCTTTATTTCAGTCTCATACAAACTCTCAAAATGGAGCAGATGTAAACGGATTATTTACCAGAATGTTGCACCAATGGCCTCTAGCCCAGTTCCCAGTAGAGTCCTTATTCCCATCTGAAACCTCAGGAGCATTCTGGTCTTCTGAGCTCCCACCAGAATCACCCAATAAACCCTGCTCACAGCATTCTAGACTTTCTCTAGCATTCTCTAAACTTCCCCAAATTCCTCCTGCAAACCAGTTTCAAAGACTTAGTTGAACTCATGGTCAGGATTAGTCACAGCAACAATCCCACTCTTTGTATCAATTTTCTGTATTAGTCAAATACCTGAGAGAAACTTCTTAAAGGGAGGAATTATTTATTTGGGCTCATGGTTTCGGAGGTTTCAGGCCACAGTCCTTGGTTTTATTGATTTGGGGCCATGGTGGGCAGAACATCATGGAGTCAGGAGCTTGTGGCAGAGGCTTCTCTCCTCATGGCAGACAGGAAGCGGAGACACAACGCCTACACTAGTGGGCTTTCTCCTTCTCCCCCTTTACTCCATCTGTGCCCCCAGCCAGTGGGAAGGCTACCACATTCTGGGGGGATTCCCTTCCCCTCAAAGTTCATTCCTTCTGGAAATTCCCTCTCATGGGTGTGCCTTGTTTGTATCCCAGTCCTCCTTCATCCAAACAAGGTTAATTACAGATGTGTCACTCTTCATTTCAGCCTTACTCCGCAATGCTTACTTTTATTTACTTAAAGTGGTGTTTATTCAAGTCCTAGTTATTGTAAAAATTCAAGTAAAGAAAAAATTTTCTTCTTGAAATGGAAAGTTCCTCTTCATCTGAACCTTAAAATCAATTGTTAATGTAGTATTTCAAAACTTGTTCAGTATCCATACTTGTATATATTTTTGAGTGGGATTATATGCCCATCAGCAAATTGCCTTTTCTCTGTATGTCATACATATCACTTGTTGACATAATATATACACATATATATCTACCTTTATTAAAATCTATACATTATTCTAATATGTTCTTCCATTTAACTAATCTAGTACTAATAACTATTTCTAATTTTTCCACTACAAATAATTATTGTTCAGGGAGCATGCACATATCTACATATGTATGGCTGTGTATTCTTTGCCTACTTGGATAAGAATGCTTTATATTAAATACCCAGAAGTATGAATTCTCTAACAAAGGAGGTACATGTATTTTTTTATGGTATTGCTCTCCAGTTCTGTTAATATCTGCTTTATATATTTTTCTTTCTTTTCTTTTATATATTTTTCTAATTTCTTTTCTGGGTGGGGGCACATTGTGGCATTTACAAAAGTTCTTACAATGTATCAAATATATTATACTTGAATTCACCTCCTTCCCCTGCTCTTCAAAGGAGATACATACTTAATTTGAAAAGGTGATGATAAATTTCCCTTCAAAAAGCTATTATGAGTGTCTGCTCACCCCCATAGTATTGCAGAACCTGCTTCCCTGTCCTTGGACTCCTCATTTACCAGCAGAGTTGGAGATCAGAAATGAAGTGGCTGGCTCTCAATATCCAGTATAATATTCTTTTATTTCACTACCAGTGATGTTAGCCTCCTTTTTTAAGTTCATTATCAACTTCCTTCTGTGAATTATCTTCATGTCCTTTGCCTTTTTCCTTTAGACTTTTACCTGTTTTATTAATTGGTAAAGGCTTCTTATATTCAGGGATATTAGTGTTGTGGATATTTAGGTCCTTGTTTATCTTTCTCCAGTGTCCAATCATAGTTTAAATTTTTTATGTGGTAATGGTGCATGCCTGTAATGCAGTACTTGGAATCCTGGGACGAGGATCATGAGTTCAAGGCCAGTCTGAGTTATATAGTGAGACCCTTTTCCAAAAAATAAGAAACCATAGCAAACAAACAAAATTCCATCATTAATTTTTATGTTGGAATAGGAGTGAGATGTTTATGTCTAACTGACTAGTTACTTATTACACCATTTGTTGAAATCCTATTTAGATTTAATTGGAATTTCAGTAACTTTTATAGATTTGTTAGAGTGTGCTTATTTGTGGAGGAAAGGATAATAGAGATGAAAATGTTAAAAGATTCAGGAGAAAGCAAGGCTAAGCAATAAAGCCTAGCCCATGGAGGAGAGAAAAGGGTGGTGTCCTGAGTGCCTTGAGCCAGAGAGTGGAGGGCTTTTGCTTAAAAAGAAGAGAAGCAGGTGTGGACAGGAATGGATATTGGACCATTTGAGAGACTTCTATGATGACCTCAAACATACGGCTAAGAGTTAAGGTGGAGAATATCCACTTTGGTTCCCCTGTGTGAACCTTATATCCTGAGCATCCTAACTCTGATGATAGGGAAGAGGTGTCACAAGTCTTAATGTGCTTTATCTTTCAGAGTCGTGGAAAGTAAAAACTCAGCCTTCCCAACAGGAACTGTTGTACTGACTTTTTCTGGCTGGACAACACACTCCATTTCTGATGGGAAAAAATTGGAAAAACTGTCTGCAGAATGGCCCAAAACGTTACCACTGTCTTTGGCTCTGGGGACAGTAGGTATGCCAGGGTGAGTTTCATGGGTATATTTTATTCATTGGAATGCTTGACTCTGAGATTTCCCAAAATAGTTCCATCTGGAATTTGGTCAACAAAAAGGGACTTGGGGCATTATAGGCCTTGGGACTGATTAGAGAAGATGATAGTACTAAGAAGGGAAGGAGACCAACCCAAGAGTCCATCAGTGGAATATATATTGCCTTACAAATGAAGGAAATCCTGATATTTATAGTATATATGAACCTGAAAGACCTTAAGTGAAGTAAGTCAGGCACAGAAAGGCAAATATACAATCTCACTTCTATGTTGTGTTAGTTTCATGTTACTCTGACAATATAAAAAGATAAAAGGTTTATTTGGCTCACAGTTGCAGAGGGTTCAGTCCATAATTGGCTGACTCCATTGCTTTGGTCCTGAGGTGAGGCAGAACATCATGGTGGAAAAGATGTGATGGAGAAGAAGTGCTTGCCTCGTCACATCCAGGAAAAGGGAAGACTGGAAGGGAGTTGGGATAGCGTGTTTTCTTTCAGGACACACCCCAATGACTTACTTCCTTTAAATGGTTCCATCCAATACTGCCATCATATTATGAATTCATCAAGGGATTCATCCATTGATTAGATCAGAGCCCTCATGATCTGATCACCCCTCAAAATTCACCCCTCAGAACTCTGCTATATTGGGAACCACTCCCTCAACTTCAATCCTTTGGGGGCAGGATCCCTTATATCTAAACCATAACATGTAGAATCTGAAAACCTTGAACTCATAGAAGCAGGGAGTGTAATGACAGTTACCAAGGGCTGAGGGGCTGGAGGGCTGGGGAAGCGTTAATCAAAACATACAAATTTCTAGACACATTTGACCAACCAAAATTGAACCAAGAGATTATAAATCACGTAAATCGATCTATAACAAGTAATGAAACTGAAGCTGCAATAAAGAGTCTCCCAAAAAAGAAAAGTACAGGACCTGATAGATCTGCTGCTAAATTCTGCCAGACCTTTAAAGAAGAACTAATACCAACACTCCTCATTCTTTTCCATTAATTAGTAAGGCAACTAACACTGTGAAAATCATTCTATGAAGCCAGTATTATACTCATTCCAAAACCAGACAAGGACACAACAAAAAAAACCCCAGAATTATAGGCCAATCTTTTTAATGGACTTAGATGCAAAGATTGCTAATAAAATACTGGCAAATGGAATTCAACAAAATATCAAAAACATCATACATCATAATGAAGTCAGTTTCATCCCAGGGATGTAGGGATAGTTCAACATGCAAGAATCTTTAAATGTAATACAGAATATTAACAGAAGCAAAGACAAAATCTATATGATCATCTCAAAGGATGCAGGAAAAGCCTTCAACAAAATTCAGCATCCTTTCTGGATAAATATTCTGAGGAAACTAGGGATAGAAGGAATGTATCTCAACATAATAAAGGTTATAAACAATACACCAATAGTCAACATCATACTAAATGGGGAAAAACTGAAACCATATCCTCTAAAATCAAAATGACACAAGGGTGTCCACTCTCTTCACTCTTATTCAACATAGTCTCAGAATTCCTAGCTGAGCAATAAGAGAAGAAGAAGAAATAAAAAGAATTCAAATAGGAAACAAAGAAGTCAAACTATCCCTATTTTCAGATGACACAATCTTATACCAAAAAGACCCGGAAAACTCCACCAAAAAATTCCTACACATTTCAGAAAAGTAGCACTACAAAATCAACTTATGAAAATCAGTAGTCTTTCTATAAACAACAATGAACAGACTGAGAAGGACTATAGGAAAACAATTCCATTTAGATTAGCCACAAAAAAAAAACCACTTAGGAATAAACTTAATAAGGGAAGTAAATGACCTCTACAATGAAAACTATAAACCACTGAAGAAAGAAATCAAAGAAGACTACAAAAGACAGCGAGATTTCCAATTATCATGGATTGTCAGAAACAATATTATGAAAATGGCAATTTTACCAAAAACAATCTGCATGTTCAATGCAATCCCCATCAAAGTTACAATGATGTCATCGTAGAGACTGAACAATCAACCCTGAAGTTCATTTGGAATCACAAAAGACCACAAATAGCCAAGGCAATACTGAGCAAAAAGAGCAACGCTGGAGCTATCACCATACATGACTTCAAATTATATTACAGAGCCATAGCAATAAGACATCATGGTACTGACACAAAAACAGACATGAAGACCAACAGAACAGAATAGAAGGCCTAGATGTGAATCCACACAGCCATGTCCACCCGATTGTTGACAAAGGTACCCAAAACATCCAATGGAGAAAAGGCAACCTCCCCAACAAATGTTGCTGGGAAAATTGGATATCTGCATTCAGAAAACTGAAAGTAGATCCATGTCTTTCATTTTTCATAAGTATCAACTCAAAGTGGATTTGGATCTTCATAAGACCTGAAACTTTGAAGCTAGTGCAGGAAAGAGCAGAGGATAGGCTGGGAATTACAGGCATAGGCAATCTTGTCCTAAATAGAACTCAAATGGCTCAGAATTAAGAAAGGATTGACAAATGGGAATACACAAAGCTAAAAAGCTTCTACACAATACAAGATATGGTCACCAAATGACTTAGATAACAGATGATTAAAAGGGAAAGTACTTTAGCGGTTCCAGTTGATTGCCCTTGAGCTCTTGGACCAGGATGAGGCAGTACAGCATGGCAGGACAATATGATAAATGCAGTGGTACATGACAGAGTCAAACTGCTCACCTCTGTGAGAAAGTGAGAGACTGGAGTCCCACAATCCTCTGCAAGGTGATTCCCAATGATCTAAATATCTCCTACGAGGCTCAACCTCTTAAAGGCTAGACCACCTCCCAGGGGTGCCACCCTGGGAAATAAGTCTTTAATACATGGCCCTTTGGTGTGATATTTAAGAACTGTTTAAGAACAGTTGGGTGTGGCGGCACGTACCTGTATTCCCAGCCTCTTGGAAGGCTAAGGCAGGAAGACCACAAGCTGAAGGCCAGTCTGAGCAACATGGTGAGATGCTCTCTCAAAACAAAATGAAACCAAATTTTTTAAGGATCCAAACTGTGTTTTGCTGTCCAGGTTGTTGATTCTCTTAAGTCCCTTTAGTCCAAAGACTAAATTTAATTTCCCCTACATTTCTTTTTCTCCTTTTCCATATTATGTCCATTTTATTTCTGAAAGGAAGGATACTTAGGAGAGGCCTTTTGTAACTTAGGTTGGTATTTCTAATTGAAAGCTGGAAATCCCAAAAAGGTGAGTAGGGAGGGAAGTGCTGTTTTCATAGGTGTAATGACACAATTGGAAAATGTCTTCTCTGCTTCTGTTTCGTGGTTAGACCAGAAAGCTCTGGTGTCAGCATTCATTCGCTGAGAACTAGGCCTGAATCCGTACTATTCCGTCTGGGTTACATTTTTGATGGCCCAGTACTTCTTTCCCTCCAAACTAACTTAAGCATCCACTTGTGGTGACATGGGAAATTCAGAAGTTCTTCCATACCTCTTTGGAAATACTCTCTGTGACCTCTCATGCCGAGACACATCATAGCATCGTGTCTACTTTGTGGCTAAGGCATGGTGATGACAGGGAGACTTTCTCCATGAAGATCACACCTCCATAGGACTTAAGGTAGAGACAGGTCACAAGCTCTCCATTCCTCTTGGATCCCCAAAGTTTAAGGGGAATCTATCTGCTTTTACCCCTGGGACCTGATGTGGACATGAGCAGGATACTCCCCTTTCCTGTAAAGTCTCCACTCCCTTCCTAGTTCACATCAGCTTTATTCCCAGCACTCGAGCCTGAGGCAGGAGGATATTGAGTTCAAGAGTTCATGTAGTATGAGCTACATAGCAAGTTCCAGACAAGCCTGGGCTACTTAATGACATAATGAGACCCTATCTCAGAGGCAGGGAGGGAGGGAGGGAGAGACAGAAACAGAGGCAGAGAGAGAGAACACACTACTTACAAATCCATGTTTCTTCCCTTAGCCTAACTGCCTACTTTGGCCTACTTGAAGTCTGTGGTGTGAAGGGAGGAGAAACAGTTCTGGTCAATGCGGCAGCAGGAGCAGTGGGCTCTGTTGTTGGGCAGATAGCAAAGCTGAAGGTAAGTATCTTCCTCCAGGAAATTTATGCAGGACTCACAGTGTGTACTGGGAATGCAACAGTCAACATGGTGAGCCTTCTTGGCCTCAGGGAGTTTACAGTGTAGTTGGTGGATCTTCTTTAGAATTTAGAGATACAGAAGTGGGGGGAATAGGGAAAACAGTGTTCCCATCTTTTTTAGGATAAGCTGAACATAGCTCTTTGATAATACTGAGTTAACAAGTGAGGAATGGCCTCCATTGGGAGTAATGAGATTGTAAGCACTTTCCTATTTTTTACTGAACAGTCTCTTGGTATAGCTTCACTTCCTATCTTCATGATTGCCCCCAACAACAGAGAGACTTGAGATCAGCCAAGCTAAGAGTCATGGCGCCATTGCAATGACTGCTGAACCAGAAAGAAATAGGGCAGCCTGCACAGAGCAGTGGGCCCATGGCTTGTAACTCCTGGGAGGTAACCAGAAGTTTTGCCTCTGATTTGAGCTGGTCTGTGCTTAAGAGATCCAATCTAACAGCGGGTATAGAGGGCAGCAGGCAGCTCAGACTAGGTCAGGGTTTGTTATAGAGTGGGAATGTGCCAAGGGGCTCTCACTTGGCTGATCTAGCTTCACCAAAGGATGTGAGCATGACTTAGGACCTAATTCCTCAGGACAAGGTAGTGGAACATCACTGAGGACAGGACTTCACCCAACAGCCAAAGCCTCAGGCTATTCTCCAAAACTATTGTGGGCTTGTAATATAAATATGGGGCTGCCATAGAGGTTGTAGAAATTATTTATCTGAGTAAGTAAGTAAATAAATGAATAAATAGGAGTAGAGGTTGAATTTTATAGATCCTATTTCCCCTTATTAACTTCGTAATCAGTAAGTTTTCTGTTCCAACAGAAAGCTGTTATATTATTCCTAGAATAAATTTTATTTACATATGGTATATTTTATATTTATATCTTTGGAACTTGTTTGATGACTATCTTTCTTTATTTGGTGCTGCAGAATGAACCCAGGGTCTTGCATATGCTCTGTCACTGTCCTTTATCCTCAGGCCTGATTTGATAAAAATCTTAAAGAGTTTTTGCATTTGTATTTATTGGTAAATTCGCTTTAAAGTTTTTCTTTAAATTTTATTTTACTGTTTTGTTTTTACATTTACTTACATGTGTAAACATTATTTGTGCATCACCTCTTGTCAGATAGCTTGGGGTGGAGACGGCTAGAGGGTGTTTTTTCTTTTTTTTCCTGCTTTTCTTGGTCTTATGGGCCATCATCCCTTAGAAGTGGGAGCTCTGAAGTGGTCTCACCAGGTGACTGACTTTGAGCAGTATTTGGTTCCTTCTGTCCACAGGGCAGTTTGCAACTGGGACCTGAGATAACTCACTGCTCATTCATGCAAGGTGGTCAGATCTATTTCTTTGACCAGGCAGCAGCTACATTGCCCTAAAGCTGTCCTACTCTGGATGGTGAGCTCCTCCCCCTGCAAGGTGGGGCAATTCAGTTTTGGGTACAGCCCTCGGTCCCACAAGACTAGCTCAGGGATCCACCATAGCCCTGCTTTGTGAGGGTGGCTTGTCACCCCACTCCAGCTCTCAACCTTTGTTACTTTTTCCTTCTTCATTCACTGAGAGTTCAGCTCCTTGCCCCAACCCTGTTCTCTGGGACAGGTTCAGTGTTCCACCCCAACCCTGCTGTTGGTGTTAGACTACAGTTCGCTGTTTATGCTTTTCAGTTTTGTTGGGGAGAGGGGGGTTGTTCAAGCTGCCCAGAGATTGCGCTGGATTATGTTCCCGGGGGGTGGGTAGGGGAGTAGCGTGTGTTGCTCACCTGTTGGGTCTGAAGGTTTATACAGGCATCTTTGAAGCTGGCTGGCGGGGAAAATTGTGTGTCAGTTTTCTTAAGGCAGACACTAACTGGGACTGGGTTCAGTATGGTGGGACGTAGGGAGGCTTTCCATGGGTTAGGGGTCCAGGATGTCATAGAGTTTAATTCTGATTGATTCTCTATCTTCTACTTATAGAAAGGGGAAAGAAATGAGAAATGGCCCCCAAGTCTTTGTTCCCAGGGCAGACACTCCCTATTGGCTGTACTGTGCTCAGATTTTTCCTGTGCTCAGATTTTCCCGACTGTTAGGTTCAATTAAAAGCTGTTTTAAGGATCAGTCCTTGAATTTTATGTGCACCTAATGTGTTGGCTGTTATTATTTTGTCTAGAAGCAATCAGAGTTACTCAAGGGTAGCTCCTATGTCTCGAGATGGTTTCTGCAGTCACGGAGCTCAGGAATTCTCATTCCTACCTAACTCCTATATTGGATCTCCCTCTTTTTTTTTTCTTCAAACCAGATTATCTAGCTACATTTAGTTTATATGAGACTTACATAATTAAGAAGTATTTCCTATGTTAAATTTTAAATGTTTTATTAAAAATAGGAGGGAGAGCTGAGGGTTAGAGCTCAGTAGTTGCATTTTTGACCCCCCGGGTTTGACTCCCAGCTCCAAAAACAAACAGAGAAAAAATTAGAAGGACTTTTATTTCCAAGTTCTAGTAGCACCAAAAATAAAAACAAAGGAAAACCCAAACTGGAATGTTTAGTCATATATATACCATTTAATTTTGTTTAGTTATTTCTCTATTTCTATATTACTTTCTGTCTTTTTCTCTAATTAGTTAAAATCTAGGTTTTATTTAGATTCTGCTGGTGTTTACATTTTATTTAAAATCTGTCTTGTTTATATCCTGCTAGGGTATGTATACATATTTTCTATTAAAAAACAATAATGTTACATGTGTTTATGAAGTTCTAATGTAGTATTTATACCTCTCTGTTCCACTCCCATATCTTATATTTTGTTTCAACAACCTAACTTTAAATTTAAGACTCCTATTAAGGTTTGTTGGATGAGACATCTGAAGATGTGCTGGTTAATGTGGCAGCAGCACCGTTGTTGAACTCTGTTGTTGGGCAGATAGCTAATTTTGCTGTGGCTAGATTCCCAAGGCTCTAATCCCTTACCTCAGAGATTCCATCCTGACTGCTTTTCAGAATAATCCCCCATTCCTCTGTGATAAGTCAGTATCTGTGCAAAGACCTTGGACCAAATTAAAAAGTAGGGGGCAGTTTCCAACAGAACTGTCTGCAGCATGGGCTGAGCCCAAATCATAGTCTAAAGAACCACTACACCAAGAGATAGCATGCACATCATTTGAAAGGAAGAGAAGTCCCATATGAAGAACCGAGGACATCAAATGAATACAGCAGCAGGTGAAGAGAACTCTGTACCAAACAGAAGGGATCCTGTGGGGTGTCAGGCAAGCTGAAGTGGGTTGTAGGCTGTTTACAGACCATTTTCACCCCAGAGGTCTGTGAAATGTCCTCTGAAGGCTGGTGTTTTGAAGGCTTGGTCCACAATGCAATCTTCAGAGGTAAGGCTTTTGGGACATGATTGGATCATGAGGGTTCTGATCTAATTGATTTATGGATTAATAATATGTTGACATTGTTAGGAATGGTATTAACTAGGAGGTTGGCCTCGCTGGAGGAAGTAAGTCAGTGGGAGAGGAGGGAAGGGGGGATTTGAAAGGGATCTCCTTTTCTCAGAAACCTGCCCTGTTCCTGGCTGTCATGAGGAAGAAGCATTCTATGTCTTTCCACATCAGTGCACTGCATTACCATAGCTCCAGAAACACAGCGGCAGCTAAAATAAGTCTTTCTTCCCGTAAGGTGTTTTTTTCTCATGTATTTTGTCATGGAACGAAGCATTGACTGACATAAGGTTTGTTCTTAGGAAGTGTGACCATATAAACGAGGAAAACAGAGCCATACTTCTGGTTCATTAACAGTTCCCATTTTTCTTTCCTTTTAGGGCTGCAAAGTTGTTGGATCAGCAGGGTCTGATGAAAAGGTGGCCTATCTTAAAAAGATTGGATTTGATGTTGCCTTTAACTATAAGACAGTAGAGTCTTTGGAAAAAGCTTTGAAAGAAGCCTCTCCTGATGGGTATGATTGTTATTTTGACAATGTAAGTACAAACTTCATTCATCTGATTTATTAACAATAGAGTGTTATATAAAGGAATATATTTTTACTTTCTTTTTTTGGTGGTATTGGGGTTTTGAACTCAGGGCATTGCACTGGCTAGGCAGGGGTTCTACCACTTAAGCCACTCTGCCAACACAAAGGAACCTATTTCCAAAGTTCCCACCTAAAATGCATGACAAAAGTACATGTGCCTTTAAGCTAAAACTTCATTAGGATGTAATTCACACGGCATGTATTTCATTCATTGAAGCTGTAGAATTCTGGGCTGGGGTATAGTTCAGTGCAGTGCTTGCCTAGGGAGTACACATGTGAGGCACTGGGTTCAATCTCCAGCACTGCAACAAATTAAAAAAAAATTAAAATTAATGTGTAGAACTCACTATTTTTAGTACATTCACCAAGTCATAGAACCATCACCACCATCACTTTTAGAATCTATCCATCATCCCAAGAGGAAACTCTCATCACCAGTCACCCTTCATTTTTACCCTGAAAAGTGGTGTTTTTGTGACTGTCTTCTTCCACTGAGTAAAATGTTTTCAAGGTCCAGCCATGCTGCAGCATATGTCAGTTCTCATTGCTTTTTTGGCTGAATACTATGCCACGATACAAATGTGTCACATTTTCTTTATCCTCTAGTCAGCTGATGGGCATCTGAGGTTTTTTTCCCTATGTGGCCATTCTATAACTGCTGCTGTGAATGTCATGTACAAGTTTTTGTGAGCACATGTTGTCATTTCTCTTGGGAATTCACCTATCAGTGCAGTGGACAGGTCACACAGCAACTTCATGTTTGACATTTTGAGAGACCGCCAAAGTGTTTTGCAAAGTGGCCACACTTACTTCCAACCACAGTCTTTGAGGATTTAACTTTTCCACATCCTCACCAACACTTGTAATGACCCATTTTCTTATTACAGCCATCTTAGCTGGTTTAAAGTGATAACTCATTGTGGTTTTGGTTTGCATTTCCAAGCCAAATGGTGGCTAATGATACTGATGATCCCTTTGTGTTCGTTAAATTGTGTCACGTTTTGGAGAAACGTGGACTCAAATTCTTTGCCTGTTTTTAAATGGGTGGTTTCTGAATTCCCTGTGTACCTGGCTACAAGTCCCTTATCGGATACAGTTGATTTTCATTATTGTGGAACACTGAACCATAATAATGCTCCTAGAGAAATATGTACATATGTGTGCTTTTCTCAAATAAAGTAAAATCTTAAATGCTAAAAACAACTACTCTAGTAGTTTCTATTTTCTTTATTTTACCAAAGAGAGACTGAGGCCCAGAGTGGTAAATCAACTGCCTGGGGTCCCTCCACTTCTGACCCTCACAAAGTTGGTATCCATTTGTCATCCAACTCTGCCCAGAGCCAGAGCTCTGGAAATACACTGCCCTGCCCCCTGCTGTCCATCCTTTGTCATCTCTCTATGAGAGTTGGAACAAGAGCTTCACTTTCCTTGTTCTGCTGGGAGCATCTGTGCCTTTTTCCTTGCTCAGTGCACATCTGAAAATGACCTGGGAACGCTCTGAGTGTGGATTTTGAAGGTACAAGTAAATTTTAGCAAGACCAAGTCACAAACCTGTAATTGACTAAAACTGAAGAACAACTGTATGTGATTTGCAAACATTTTCTCCTGTGAGTTGTCTTCTCCCTTGATGGTATCCTTTGAAGCACGGTGTTTAAATTTTGATAAAGTCAAATTTATCTTTTTTTCTTTTGTTCCTTGGGCTTTTTGGGTGTCATGTCCAAGTCGGTTTTTGCCTTACTCAGGGTTATCGAGATTGACTCCTGTTTTCTTTTAAGAGTTTCATAATTTTAGTCCTTACATTTACATCTATATTCATTCTAATTTTTTTGGGATTTGAACTCAGACCTTATACTGCCTAGGTTAGTATTCTGCTACTTGAGCTACCCTCTAGCCCTGTATTAGATTTTAAGTAAATTTGTGTGTATGGTGTGAGAAAGAGGTCTAATTTCATCTTTTGCTATATGGATATCCAGTTGTGCACCCTTTATGAAAAAAACTGTTCTCTCCCCTATTAAATTTTTGGCATTCATGCAAAAAACAATTGACCATTCTTAGATTCTTAATTCAATTCTATTGAATTATATTTGTGTTTTATAATTGGGAAGTGTGGTTTCGTTAACTTTGTTCTTCATATGCCTTTTGAATATTTTTCCCTACTCTTAGATAATAGGGTAATAAGACTACTGGACTGACTAGAGAACCCCAATATTTAATACCCTAAAGTAATATAAGGTATATTCCTAGAGTTAAAGGTTAAATGTCCACTTCTAATGTCTTTTCCTAAGTCCAATTTTCTGCACCGTTGTGCTAGTTCAATTTTATTACTGCTCAAATAATAATGTGAAATAATGATTGTGACTTAATGATTCTCCTAAATCTGGTGCTAGATCATTTAAGATGTTTGTTTGTTTCTCCTGTCTATTTAGGTTGGTGGAGAGTTTACAAACACTGTTATTCCCCAGATGAAAACATTTGGAAGAATTGCAGTGTGTGGGGCCATCTCTACCTATAACCGTACTGGGCCTCCTCCCCCAGGTAATGAATTTGTGTAGATGATCTCAGGTAGAGGAAGTCCAGACAAGGGGAAGGTTCACATATAGGGATAGACCAGGAACTTTCGAAATATTATACTGATTTCCTGATGAAGTATCATGAAATTGAATTTATTAAAATAAAAGTAAGTAATTTCACATATTTTACACTATTTCAGCTCGCAGAAGACTTCAATATTGAAAAATAGAATTCAAAATTAGAAGACACACAATTATTAAAAGTTTTAGGTTTTGACCTATTCTTTTTTGCAAAGTTGTGTAAAGATAGCCATGATTTGAGTTGGAAACAGAGCACCTTGGTTCTTCAGATATTAGATCTATTTCTGGGGGTTTGAGGGAGGTTGGAAGGTAACTTGCTATGGTTGAAGTGAGGTGCAGGCTACATTTTCCTTCACAATCTTGGGCAGTAACTTCTGAAACAGCAAGACATCTGGTCCTGATGAGGCTGACCATTTTCACTAAAAGGATAAGGGACATCTAATTCCACCTCCATTCTTTGTTTGTCTTTGTTCTGTTTCTCCAGTGCCCTGGTGTACCCTCCATCTTCACTTCTTCACGCTCTTATGCTGAAGTCACTTCCACCTCCCCCTCCACAGTCCCCGAGATCCAGAAGCAGTAACAACAGAGGGCCATATGCATTACTTCAGTCCTATGACAGATATTGTACAGGTCTCATTTTATGGATGGGAAGATGAATGACTGAGACAACCAGACTCCTTAAATCCTAGTAGCAACAAAGACCAGCATGCTGAATTCTTAGACTCCTTTTCTGCTGCCCCAATACTGTGCTCTTATTGAACTTACGTTTAACCTGGGTTCCCAAAAAGGAGAAAGAAGAACAAAAGGGAATCTTCTACTCTGTAATCAAGATCTAAGCAATCATTTGGTTGCTTATTCCATGACAGGCTTAACTAATGGGAGTGAAATATTATAGCTCACAGAATAATAACACAAGTGCACAGAGACAGCTGGGCTTGGAGAAGAAGGAACTAAGGACAACTTATACATACCTTCTTGGGGCATGAAGAAGCAAAGTCATTATCTTCTCCAGAAAGGAAACTCAGATTCACTTGACAATCTTTCTTATAAGAGCTTTTATTTCCCTCTATGTTTTTCCAATTTATGATAAGCTAGAATCATGGGAAATCAACTCCCTGCCAACTGAGTGGAGCTTCAGGTTTTATTTTCTGAACCACAGTCCAATTAGGTGGAGCCACATATTTTGGATGTAGTAACTTGATCTAGTCTATGTAGCAATTAGTGTTTGGAAGCTTAGCTGAATGTTAGGACTTGGAGATGGCAGCTGAACGTGTCCATTCCATTTTAATCACATGGGATTCTGCCTTGCCTCTGATCCCCAGCAGTCCTAACATGTCCCCTATCAGGAGGCAAGTAGGTATTCCCACCAGCTTTACTGCCACCTTTGCCTATTTGGTCTCAAAAAACAACCCAACATTCTCACCAGGATGGACAGCCCAGCAACAGTATGTCACTGCCTTTCAAGGAAGTGAGGTTTCCAATTCTTAACTCAAAGAGGAATAGAAAGGACATGGGCCTTCTGGAGAAGGATGCTTTCCCCATGACCAGACTAGCATTTGGCTGTTATTCATCAGATATTAGTTGCTGTTGGTTCAAGACAAATCTTCCAGGAGCCTAAGGATGGATTCTACCACTTGTCTTGTTTGGAAAGGACTGGATATTTCCTATACCTGTTCTCTTGGCTTCTTAGAACTTGTAAGACTATGCTCAGTTATCATTCTCTCAGTTTCTCATCACTTAGCATGCCTGGGTAGATAAGCTAGGTAGCCAGTACAACCTTTTGTGTCTCACACAGAGCAGTTCCACTATAAGGCTATAGGAGAACCTTGTGCTCTTTCTAGGCTGGTGGCTTTCCATGGGTGGGTCTAGGAATAGCAGCATTAGCATCTCTAGGAATGGTTAGAAATACAAATTATTGGGGCCCACTCTAGATCCACAATGAGAAATTGGGGGGAAAGTCTGAGCAACTCTTTTCACAAGTCCTCACCTGATTCTCATATACACAAAATTTGAGAATTACTGTCAGGCTTAATCTTGGCATCCTGAAATGGCGAGGCCAGGGGCACATGTGGTGATTTTTGAGTCACTAGATCTATTGTGTCTTAGTGGCACTTAGACTTGGGAGTGGACAATGGCTTTACATCTCTTAGAACAAAATAAAATGGGTTTATGGTCCAGAATAAGTCATGAAGAGGAGCATCCTATATACTGGGAATATCAGGGCAGTCAAAAAAAAAAACTCATTTGAGCAGTGCAGAATATTTTTCATATGTTATCTTTGGGGCCTCTTTCTGTTCCATGGTAGAAGTTTTTGGTGGGCTTTGCTTCCAGAATATGAGAGGTGAATGCTCCTCGGCTGCCTGGTCTATGCAAGGACTCCTGTGTATATTAATATCGTACTGCTTCTAAACAAATTATCACCAACTGAAGTGCTGAAAACAGCACAAATTCTTTCTTACAGTTCTGGAAATTAAAAGTCTAAAATGCGCAGCATTTAGACTGGGCTGCATTCCTTCTGCAAGCTCTAGAGAGTGTGTTCTTTGCCTTTTCCAGCTTGTAGAGGCTGACACATTCCTTGCATTTGGCCCCATTCCTCTATCTTCTAAACCACTAGCATGAAATCTTTCACCTTTTTCTACTCCTCCTTGTTCACCGCCATCCCTGATTTCTACCATTGCTTCTTTTTTTTTCCTGATTGGAACTTTCTTGAATCCCTCTTTCTCTTGCAAGAATGGTTGTGATTATAACGAGACCACATGTACATACAATGTCATCTCCCTGTCTGAAGAATCCTATGGATTCACAAGTGCAAAATCCTTTTGGCTTCATAATGTAACATATTCACAGGTTCTGGGGCTTTGGATGGGGAGCTCTGTCTTTAGGGCCATTATTCCTACCGCAGAGCTGATGGTGATAGTCAGCTGGCCCCATAGGTCAGTGGGAGAAAAAGGAGGGGAAAGCACTTGGGAGAACACTGACAGTGACTTGTACTGCCAGTCTTCTAACCGTGGACACCTCCATGGAGCCTGTCACCAAAATGCACTTTCTTCTTTCAGGCCCACCCCCGGAGATTATTATCTATCAACAACTCCGCACAGAAGGGTTCATCGTCTATCGCTGGCAAGGAGAGGTCCGCCAGAAAGCCCTGAAAGAGCTGATGACGTGGGTGTTAGAGGTAAGAGGCTCCAGATTCACCCCTTCCATCATACTCCAGATCCCTTTGGCTTTTTGATATTCAGGCCATCACTTCACCAATTCTCTCTCTTATGCAGTATCATCATTTTCTCTGTCTGCTGAGTCATTGCTTTATAAATACAATCATTCTGTTCTTCTCATCTTAAAAAGGAAAACAAACAACTCTGTCTAAATTTCTTTCTTTTTGGGGGAGCTTGGGGGACTTGGAGGTATAGCCTTGGTGGCCTCAAACTCATTCCTCTTGTCCCAGCCTCTGAGTGCTTTGATTACAGACGTGCATCCCATACCTAGCTCCTCTATATTTTGTTTCCACTCAAATACAAATCCTTTTCACTCTTTCCTAATGTATGTATATGTATGTATATACATACACACATAAACATACCTGGAAGTGTTCACACCCGTGCATGCAGTTCCTCTCTTCCCATTGTTTCTTGAACCCATGTATCAGGTTTTGTACTGCTAATATTGCACCAAAATCGCTTTTATCAAGGTCAGTAATACCTCTCACAGTGGGGTATCCAGTAGTTGAGTCTTCACATCTCTTGGCTGAGGGGAAGTGCTTGACAGTGATCACATTCTTGGTGTACTTTCTCCCCTTGGCATTCCTTTAGCTCTTGGTCTTCCTCTCCGGTTAATCCTCCTCAGGTCCCCTTCCAGCTTCTTTCCTAATTAGTGATGGAATGCCCCGGGCCTGATCACTGGGCTCTTTTCTTCTCTATCCACACTTTTATCTATGCTTTGCTTAACTTTTCTAGGCTCACACACTCACAGTCTTCAGTACACAGACAGCTCCTGCATTTCTTTCTCCAGCCTGGACCTCTCCCTTGAACACCTGACTGGTGCATTCAGCTGGTCAACAGCTGCACCTGGATGCCTAACACATGTCCTCAACTTGGCATGTCAGAAACAAATTATGTTTCAATCTTTCCCGCCAAACCTGGTGCATATGCAGTCTTCACTATCTCAGCTGTGACAGTTTTTCACTGCTAACTGCTCAGTACAAAAGCCTGAAATCCTTAATTTCTTTCTTTCTCTTACATCAGTGCTACATATGTCAGTAGACTCTGGTGTCTCCATGTTCAAAATACATACAGAATCTTCAAAATATGTACCCATTCTTCAACCTCCTATGCTACCACCCCAGTCCAGGCTACCACCCTGTGTAGCCTGGATGTTTGTAGTAACTTCCATTTGGTCTGACACTTTTACTTTTTCTACACACATTTCCCAACACAGAAGCAGTGTGATCTTTTAAAGCATACACCAAATTGTCATTCTTATATTCCAAACTCTGCAAGGCCCCTCTTACACTGGGAAGAAGTCTAAATGCTCATAGTAACCTACAAGGCTGAACATGATCTGCCTCCTGCTTCCTCTCTGATTCCATTTCTTAGTGCTCATTCACTCCTGGCTGACTCTGCCATTGCCCTGGCCCACCTTCTGAAACTGCTTCCTTAATTCTCACACCTTCTTCAAGTCTTTGCCTTGTGGATGAGATAATGTTTTTACTTTAGGCTTTGAACCCTGGGCCTTGCACATGCTAGGCAAGTGCTGTACCATTGTCCTACATCTCCAGCCCCGAATGAGACAACTCTCAAAATTTTAATTGACATATAATAATCATACCTTTATGAGGTAGAATCTAATATAGCAGTACACATATACAATGTGTAATTGTTCCATCAGGGTGATTGGGATGTCCAACACCTCAAATATTTATCATTTCTTTGGTTGGAACATTCATATTGTTTTTGAATACTGTTTTGAAATATACAATTAATTGTAGTCATATTAATTATTATGCCATAGAACATTAGAATGAATGACCTTATTTTAAGCTGCAATCTCCCTTTATGACTGATCTTCCTTATCTTTTTTCCACAGCAATTAAAGTATTTTAATATATAATTCACTTACTCATTTTTATGTATTGCCCATTTCCCTTCCATGAAAGTATAACCTCCATGAGGACAGCAGTGTTCATGTGTTTGATTTTCTGGTGTACTCCCGGGACCCAAAATAGTGTCTGAGTCAATGTAGGCACCAAAGGAGCTGGGAATGTAGCTTGTGGTAGAGCACATGCTTAGCATGGGTGAGGTCCTGTGTTCAATTCCCTCTTCATCCCCCAAATTGTGGGTACTATATAAACATTGTTGAATGAATAAATATTAGTAGGGCATACAAATGGATCAAGGTTCTTCCAGGTGCTACACTGGAAAAAGCCTTATAGCCATACCTTTTGGATCCAGAGGAAGAAGCTAGTCCCTTGTCCTGTACTGTGACCATTTTTCCATCTTACCATGTGGAGTTTTAGTTAAAGAATCTGAAGAATGGCAGTGCATTCTTTTAGTTTTAAGAGTGATACAGTGCTTCCTAATTCCTGGCCTGTGGTCATCTCCCAATTCCAAGCCATAGACTGCTCCTCTGGTAGCTGCTGGAGCGTGGTCATCTTCCCAGTGTAACACTTGGAGTCTGCTGGGCTCTCTCTAGACAGCTGGAAAGAGCAGAACTGGTTTTTAAGTTCCCAGGGTGTAGCCTCTTTGTCCTTACTGGTGAAATTAAATCCAGCACCTCCACAATCACAGCTGAAACAAGAAACTACTGTGTCGATGTCATAGTAGCTTCCTACTAGCAAAGTGAAGCTAAGTTGGCATTTTTACTTCCTAATCATTTTTGGTTTTTTTCCTCAATTTTTCCTCCCATTTGGTGATGGCAGTTAAACCCAAAATCTCTGAAATGGTAAGCCAGTACTCCACCATTAGCTATACCCCTATTTATTAAAAACATACATTATTTTATTTATTTATTTATTTTCATTTTTCTTTTATTATTCATCTGTGCATACAAGGCTTGGTTCATTTCTCCCCCCTGCCCCCGCCCCCTCCCTTACCACCCACTCCGCCCCCTCCCGCTCCCCCCCCAATACCCAGCAGAAACTATTTTGCCCTTATTTCTAATTTTGTTGTAGAGAGAGTATAAGCAATAATAGGAAGGAACAAGGGTTTTTGCTGGTTGACATAAGGATAGCTATACAGGGCATTGACTCACATTGATTTCCTGTGCGTGGGTGTTACCTTCTAGGTTAATTCTTTTTGATCTAACCTTTTCTCTAGTACCTGTTCCCCTTTTCCTATTGGCCTCAGTTGCTTTAAGGTATCTGCTTTAGTTTCTCTGCGTTAAGGGCAACAAATGCTAGCTAGTTTTTTAGGTGTCTTACCTATCCTCACCCCTTCCTTGTGTGCTCTCGCTTTTATCATGTGCTCATAGTCCAGTCCCCTTGTTGTGTTTGCCCTTGATCTAATGTCTACATATGAGGGAGAACATACGATTTTTGGTTTTTTGAGCCAGGCTAACCTCACTCAGAATGATGTTCTCCAATTCCATCCATTTACCAGCGAATGATAACATTTCGTTCTTCTTCATGGCTGCATAAAATTCCATTGTGTATAGATACCACATTTTCTTAATCCATTCGTCAGTGCTGGGGCATCTTGGCTGTTTCCATAACTTGGCTATTGTGAATAGTGCCGCAATAAACATGGATGTGCAGGTGCCTCTGGAGTAACAGTCTTTTGGGTATATCCCCAAGAGTGGTATTGCTGGATCAAATGGTAGATCGATGTCCAGCTTTTTAAGTAGCCTCCAAATTTTTTTCCAGAGTGGTTGTACTAGTCTACATTCCCACCAACAGTGTAAGAGGGTTCCTTTTTCCCTGCATCTTCGCCAACACCTGTTGTTGGTGGTGTTGCTGATGATGGCTATTCTAACAGGGGTAAGGTGGAATCTTAGCATGGTTTTAATTTGCATTCCCTTTATTGCTAGAGATGGTGAGCATTTTTTCATGTGTTTTCTGGCCATTTGAATTTCTTCTTTTGAGAAAGTTCTGTTTAGTTCATTTGCCCATTTCTTTATTGGTTCATTAGTTTTGGGAGAATTTAGTTTTTTAAGTTCCCTGTATATTCTGGTTATCAGTCCTTTGTCTGATGTATAGTTGGCAAATATTTTCTCCCACTCTGTGGGTGTTCTCTTCAGTTTAGAGACCATTTCTTTTGATGAACAGAAGCTTTTTAGTTTTATGAGGTCCCATTTATCTATGCTATCTCTTAGTTGCTGTGCTGCTGGGGTTTCATTGAGAAAGTTCTTACCTATACCTACTAACTCCAGAGTATTTCCTACTCTTTCTTGTATCAACTTAAGAGTTTGTGGTCTGATATTAAGATTCTTGATCCATTTTGAGTTAATCTTGGTATAGGGTGATATACATGGATCTAGTTTCAGTTTTTTGCAGACTTCTAACCAGTTTTCCCAGCAGTTTTTGTTGAAGAGGCTGCTATTTCTCCATCGTATATTTTTAGCTCCTTTGTCAAAGATAAGTTGCTTATAGTTGTGTGGCTTCATATCTGGATCCTCTATTCTGTTCCACTGGTCTTCATGTCTGTTTTTGTGCCAGTACCATGCTAAAAACATACATTATTTTAAAACAGGTTTGCATTTATAGGAAAATTGAGAAGATGGTACAGAGAACTCCCATATACCAGCATCCTATACCTTAATTTCCCTGTTACTAACATTTTACACTATTATTTTATTAATTTTCTTGGACTGCCATATACAAAACCACCAAAATTGCTTTTCTCTTAGTTCTGGAGGCTGAAGTTCAAGATCAAGGTGTCAGCAGGGTTGCTTCTTCTGATACCTTTCCTACATCTTCTCATAGTCTCTCTGTGTGGCTGTGTGTCTTACTGTCCTCATAAGAACACCAGTCCCATTGAACACCTACCCTCTGACTTCATTGTATCTTACTTATATCTTAAGGCCCTGTCTCCATATACTGTCACATACTGAGGTACGAGGGATTAGGATTTCAACCCAGGGATGTGGCTAATACTGGACCACAACAGCATTCATTCTCTGTTTTTAATTATTGCTGTGAATTTGGGTAGTGGGTGAGACACATTCAGTCCATAACAATATTCATTCTTTTAACCATTCATACTTTTAACCATGAACCTGGATTCTGGCTTTCCATCCCTGTCCAGGCCATCTGTCCTTTTGAAGAGCAGGAATGAGTTAGGGCTTATCAGTCAAGGGTTCAATCTCAGTTTTCCTACTTTATGAGTGGCTTCAAGCCAGTGATTTTGTCCATAAATCTGTAGAGGTCCTCAGCCATTACCGGGATACATTATGAAAAAATACCATCAGGTAACTCAGGTCTCTAAATAAGACCCTTAAAAAAACCTTGAAAATGTAAATTAGTCAGACGGAGTAGACCTTGTAGAAGAAAAGAAAATGAAAAACCTTTCCCACTGACATGAACCCCCCCTTCTACACTTCTAAATAAATGTTAAGTCTTCAAAGAACCTTGGCTTTAATCTACATGTTTAATGCAATTCCCATCAAAATCCCAATGACATTCATCACAGAGATTGAAAACTCAACCCTAAAATTCATTTGGAAACACAAGAGACCACGAATAGCCAAGGCAATACTCAGCAAAAAGAGTAATGCTGGAGGTATCACAATACCCAACTTCAAACAATAGCAATAAAAACAGCATGGTACTGGCACAAAAATAGACATGAAGACCAGTGGAACAGAATAGAGGACCCAGATATGAAGCCACACAACCATGCCTACCTTATTTTTGACATAGGCACTAAAAATATACGATGGAGAAAAAACAGGCTCTTCAACAAATGTTGTTGGAAAAAGTAGTTATCCGTCTGCAAAAGACTAAAACTAAATCCATGTTTATCACCCTGTGCTAGTATCAACTCAAAATGGATCAAGGACCTTAATTTCAGACCCAAAACTCTGAAGTTGGTACAGGAAAGAGCAGGAAACACTCTGGAAGTAATAGGTATGGGCAAGAACTTCCTCAGTACAACCCCAGTAGCTCAGCAACTAAGAGAAAGTGTAGACAAATGGGACTTCATAAACTAAAAAGCTTCTGCACAACAAAAGAAATGGTCTCTAAACTGAAGAGACCACCCATAGTGTGGGAGAAAATATTTGCCAGCTACACATCAGACAAAGGACCGATAAGCAGAATATACATGGAACTCAAAAAACTAAACTTTCCCGAAATCAATGAACCAATAATGAAATGGACAAGTGAACTAAACAGAACTTTCTCAAAAGAAGAAATTCAAATGGACAAAAAACACATGAAAAAATGCTCACCATCTCTAGCAATACAGGAAATGCAAATCAAAACCACACTAAGATTCTACCTCACCCCTGTTAGAATAGCCATCATTAAAAACACCACTAACAACGGATGTGGGGAAAAAGGAACCCTCGTATACTGCTGGTGGGAATGCAAACTTGTGCAACCACTCTGGAAAAAAATCTGGAGTCTTCTTAAAAATCTAAACATAGATCTGCCATATGATTCAGCAATCCCACTCTTGGGGATATACCCAAAGGAAAGTGACACAGGTTACTCCAGAAGCACCTGCACACCCATGTTTATTGCAGCACTATTCACAATAGCCAAGTTATGGAGACAGCCAGAATGTCCCACTACTGATGAATGGATTAAGAAAATGTAATTTATACACAATGGAGTTTTACCTAGCCATGAAGAAGAATGAAATCTTATCATTTGCAAGTAAATGGATGGAACTGGAGAACATCATTCTAAGCGAAGTTAGCCAGGCTCAGAAGACCAAAAATCATATGTTCTCCCTCATGTGTGGACTTTAGATCTAGGGCAAATGCAGCAATGTGGTTGAACTTGGGTCACATGACAAGGGGAGAGCACACATGGGAGGTATGGGGATAGGTAAGAAACCCAAAACATGGTAATATTTGATGTCCCACTGCAGAGGAACTAATACAGAAACCTTAAAGCAACAGAGGTCAATATGAGAAGGGGATCAGGATCTAGTGAGGAGGTCAGTTAGAGATGAATCAACTTGGTTATGTAACACATTTGTACATGGAAGCAATGCTAGGAATCTCTCTGTATAGCTATCCTTATCTTAACTAGCAAAAACGTTTTGTCTTTTTTATTATTGCTTATGTCTTCTCTTCAACAAAATTAGTGATAAGGGCAGAACAGATTCTGCCTGGAAGTGAGTGGGGCGGGGGGAAGAGAGAGCGGGTGGAGGATAGGGGGGAGAAACAGCCCAAATAATCTATGCACATATGAATAAACAAAAGAAAAAAAGAACATTAGCTTGAAAGGGAGACAGATTACTAGACTGCCAAGGTGTTTCCATTTCCTGACTAGGCCCTGCCTCTTCAAGGCCAAAGACAATCAATGATTCTGCATCTTCTGGTACCAGAAGTGAGGAAGCCAGGTGCATCTGGCAAGGCAGCTCCTTTCTTCATGCACTTTTACTTCTTCTGAGATCATTGTGTTATTAAACTTGCCTACACAATTTTCTTAGATACTATACTTGATCTTAGCCCAAAGACCGAGAACCAATACAATTTAGTTAGAAATTGCTTAATTATAGCCTGTGACATTTCCCCTGCTGTTACCCTGTGATCTGATACCTACTATTGCATTCTTCTTTGAGTTTTGTAATCTGCTGTATACACCGTGATGAGAATCCTGCCCACATATTGACTTTTGAGTTATTGTTCAGATAGGGTATAGAGTTTTTGCCTTGAGTCAGCCTCTGACTGAGATCTTCCTGACAGTGCTCCCAAATAGCTAGGACTGTAGGTGTGCAACACCTTATCCAGCATCCAAATGACTTTAAGTACAGAAAATAGGCTTCCATCTCATACTTTCAAGGTTCCTGTGATGTCCCTGGTAAACCTGCTTCTAGGAGGAGGAAAGAATATGTTTTTCCAAATATAAAATCAACTTCCTATATTTGTTGTTGTTTTGGTACAGGGTAAAATCCAGTATCACGAGCACGTCACTGAAGGATTTGAAAACATGCCAGCAGCATTTATGGGAATGCTGAAAGGAGAAAATCTGGGGAAGGCAATAATGAAAGCATGAGAAAAATGACACCTGGAATCCTCATTGGATGTTCATCTCCTTTTCTCCTGCTTGCTCTAAATGTATACTACCTTAATCATCTAAGAATGAGTCACTGTAATGAGTTTAATCTACCCAAAAAACACATGTAAGTGGTTTGTAATTAGTGACAGAGCATGAAAATTATCTGATGAAAACCACCACTCACCCTGCTACCCACTACAGCTCCTCCTGGGGTAGCATAAAAAACAGTGGTTTGGGGTCCCAAGTTCTACTGTAGACTTCAGATTTTTCCTCTGTAGAATGAGAATAAGGGTTAGCTCACTCCCTGCAGAAATCAGTGGATTTGAAGTCATAAGATCTCCACCCCTGTTGCTTATGATGACACCAGAACCACAGCTGATGTACAGTGGTCTGTGGACCAGCCACAATGGTGGTGTGCACATGAGTCTAATAATATAACAGACCAAGGAAGGAATCTGCCCTTCACAGCAGCTGCAAAAAATATGATAATACCTGATACTATAAAAATATGCAGAATCTAAAGCTTGAAAAAATTTTGAGGAATATAAAAGATTTAAACATATAGAAATGCACAATGTAGTAAAAAAAAGATAAGGGGCTAAGACTAATAAAAGGGATGAATTTGATCAAAGGACATTATATGAATGCATGGAAACAATGACACCCTTTATTACCATTAATATATGGTAATAACAAAAAAACAGAATAAAATTTGAAAAAAGAAGGAAGGCTACCATACTCTGGACCAGGAGGATTCAATATCAGAAAGATGTCAGTTTTGTTGATCAATTCTATCATCATAGAAGGGTTAAATAGAATTGTACAATGAAACAATGGGGCAAAACGTGTGGTTATATAAAAGCTCTGGAATGATGTCATGAAGTTCTAACATGGTTTGACTTCAAGGAAGAGAACTGAGGAGTACCAAAAGGACAGGGATAAGAGGAAAACTTTCTACTGTTTGAATTCTGAACCTTATGAATGAATTTACTGACAAATACAGTTAAAACATAAAAGTCTCTGCTTTTTTTGTATTCAATCCTATAGACAGATGGGAGGGAACGTGGTGCCTGCCTTTTGGGGTTGGGATGGAAAAGCTTCTGTAGCCCAGAGCAGGGTGAGGAGATCATGCAGGGAGGCTGGGTGTCTGGAATGAGGAGTCAGAGTGGGCACAGAAGGGGCTGAGTTGTATGTTGTTGCCTGGTGATGGGAGTTGGAGCTCAAGCAAAATGAATATGAGTAGGGGTTCTCAACATGGCATATCAAAGGCCAAGAAGGGTGAAGAAGCCATCGATGTAGGTGGAGGAGGGAGCTCCTGGCCTGATGAAGTGTGTCAGAGTCCAACCAGGGTGAAGAGGGCTTTGGAGCAGGAAGAGTGACTGGATGACTCCAAGCACAGTGAGGAGGGCATCATGCCTGATACACTCTGGCTCTAGGTGTAAGAGCTCAGAGCAGAGTAAACAGGGTGTCCAACCCGGGAGGTAAGTGATCCCAAGTGTGGTGAGGACACCCCCACCATGACCCTCAATAACCTGGTACAGGCAGTTGGATCCCCAAGCAGTTTGAAGACTCACACATGGATTAGGCTGGTGTGGAGGTCAAAACCTGAGTGGAGCTTTTGTGTGGCAGCGAGGCCAGCATGACCCAAAGGAAACATCGGCCTTGAGAAGCAAAGATGGTGGCCAAGTGCAAGATGTCAGAGCTGGAGTGGAAGGAAGGAACATCTGCACAAGAGGGAGTGATGGTGATGGGAGATGGTTACAAATAGATGGTTACGTATTTGACCAAAGGAAAGCAATGGAAGCCAGAGGTTCTTACTGTCAGAGAAGGGAGTTAATGAGAAGAACCTTGTGGTATTAGATTAGAATCAGAAGTATTGATGTGAACTCATGAATTCTCATGTATATGAGATTAAATATAGATGTAAATGTGTATATTATATGTATACATTTACTACATTCATACATGTGTATGATGTATATATATATATTTCCTAATTCTATCTGAAGGAGCAGAATAACAACAAGCACACCAAAATCCCAGAATACGCCATTTAAATACCATTTTCTACTAAAAGGAGCCAAAGCTTCTTGGAGAAATGGCTTTTTGGGGGCTGCGGAAGGGAGTTACAAGATGAGCCTTGAATGACTTACCACAGAAAGTGAGGAAGTGGTCAAGTCATGTCAAAAGAATACAGAGGCCAGTTTATTTGGGCTCCCACTAGACAAATCCTGAAAATTCTGAGCTCCAATATAGGCAAAGTCATCTTCTGCGGGGGGTGGTAGCGAAATCCAAAGATTTAGGACATGGAGGCACCAGGTTCTATTGAAGTGAGGAAGTAATCAGGGGCTAAAAACAGAGTGCTTGAAAATATACATCAAGGAAGAGCAGTTGGAGCCTCCTACCTTGTTGGTCTGGTAATAATCACTCCCCCAACAGGAAAGGAGAGGTATTACCTTCCACTAAATGGAACTTAAGGGCTATTAACTTGGGGACCCCAAGCCTGGAGAATGTAAATGAGATGTGAGACTAAAAATCAAAAATTAAGTGGAAGCCTGTATAACAAGAAGAAACTAAAATCCTATCTTGCCATACGGCTTTCTTCTGCCTGCTCCAGAAAAATGGTGGCCAGGCTTGTATGTCCCAGGATGATTAGGAGATTCTGTCTGAACAAACTACAGATCCTGCTGGAGAAATTACATGATTTATAATGGCCTATGTTTCCCCCAATCTCCCTCAGAATTCATAAGTGAAGCACTTTTTAAAACCAAGTACCTCAAAAAGGACATAATCCTTTGCATAGATTAGTTGCATAGATAAAAGTGGAGGTGGGAACCATGTCCCTGTGTCTGTGATCCCAGCTACCTGGGAGGCAGAGATAGAAGGATCGCTATTGGGAGACAGCCTGGTCACAAAGTTAGTGAGACCTTATGGTAACAAGCCAGTTGTAGTTCACACCTATAATCCTAGCTGTTTAGGAGGCAAGTGTAGGAGGATCTCAGTCTGAGACTGGCCCAGGCAAAAGCAGAAAAGCCTTATCTCAAAAAATAAATGAAGTTAAAAGGGCTTGGGACATGACTCAAGTGGTACCACCAAGCACAAGACTCTGTTCACACCCCAAAAATAATTAAATAAGGTTAAATCCAGTTTAAAAGGAGTAAAGATATTTGCAAAGAAAAGGTCTTCTAAGCTTAGTTGAGCCAGCCATGGTGACCATGAAGTCTGCCTGGCTGTGAGCACAGTCTCCCACTGAAATAAAATGAAACCCAGAACCCGAGGAGATGTCCATCCTTAACAAAACCTTTAATACTGAGGCTTTCTAAGTTGAGAAATTTAATAGAGTTTTATTCAGAAAGGTTTACATGACATTTGTGTATTCAATTCACACTAGTAAAGGATGAATGACAAATTTGGGATAGGAACAGAAAAATATGACAAGGATTAGTATTTTAATATAAAGAGTTATGTAGAGTATTTTTAAAGAGTAAAGAAGCTATTTAAAAATCATGATCTTGGTAGACATCTTAGAAAAGGAAATGAAACCAGTTAAGAGAAGTGGAAAGAATTAATTTGGTGAGTAATTGTAGGAATGCAAATATTAACTACAAAGTATCTCCTGACACAATTAGCAAAGATCATAAAATTTGCAATAGCTACTTGCTTTTTTGGCAGTAATAGGGAACGAACCCAGGGCCTCACGCATGCTAAGGAATCATGAAAGGGCTTCTGCTGTGAAAACAGTTATATTCTCCCCTCCTTGTTTAGATTTTCCTTCTAAACACTGTTTCTTCACTTAGGCAGATCCCTCATCTCCCTCTATGACGTTTTAGCATTTCCTGGAATACAGAAAAGAGTCAAGGAGGCAGAACTGTGAGTGCTACCCTGAGACAATCTTGATGGCAAGGTTGGTCTTTGGTTTGTGACTGTGAACCTGGATTTGGAGCATTTTCATCACTCTCTCAGTAATAAGTGTGGCTCATTTTGCCACTGTCTAAACAATGTTCTTCACACTGAACACCTGCTTTCCTTCTGGGGCTGTGAACTTGGTACATGTTAGGCAGAGGGTATATGTGACCAGACTCCAGTAAAAACTTTGGGTGGGCTGGAGGGGACCAGCTCTGTAGTGGAGCCATGCCTAGCATGCACAAGGCCCTGGTTCAATTCTCAGCACCAGAAAACACAAAAAGCGATTTTATGTGCTGAGGCTCTAATAGGAATCCTTAGGCAGAAACATCAAATGCACATTGATGAGGAACCACATCTTCATTGCCGAGGAAAGAATGCACTGTGTGATCCTTCATGGGAAAGAGTATAAGGCTTCTCTCTGTGGATGTCTCCAGACTCTGCCTGAGTCTTTCCCCCTTACTACATTGCTTTACTAAGTCATTGTCATGATTCCTATGTACTAAGTACCATAAGTCCTTCTACTGGCTTCCAGCATGGCAGTAATCTTGGACAACCTTGACTCAAGCAATTAAATTGATTCACCTCAATATTTCCAATAAGGTCAAAGTCACTGGTGCCATTTCCCATCCAAGCTGCTTAGTAGCAAAGCTGCTCAGCATGTCACAGAGAATTCAGTGACACCACTGGGCTGGAACTTGGGCACGAGCCCAAGAGTCAGCTCAAGCAAGATGCAAGTGACCAACACTTGCTTTTTCCCTTTGGCCATGAATCCCCCCGGTGCTTTGTGAGCCCTGACTCTTCTATGCAATGCGTTCTTTCCCTACAACATTCCCTACTTGTCCTATCAGTATTTTAAAGTTATTCTGAAAGAAAATTTAGCATATCACTCACAGTTACTAACATTTTCCGTAAGGGAAATCCAAGTGCGACAATGTCCCTACCACTTATCCACTATTTTGCCTTCCATGGTTTCAATAATACACAATCTACCATAGCCAAAACTATTAAGTGGAAAATTACGGAAATTAACAACTCGTAAGTTTCAAATTGTCCTCCTTTATGAGTAGCATGATGAGATCTGTGGTATCTGCTGTATACTGCCCACGTGAATCATCCCTTTGTCCAGTGTATCTATTTTGTATATACTTGCCTGCCCATTAGTCACTTAGTAGGTATTTTGGTTGTCCAATTGACTAGTATAGTATAGCAGTCCAAATAACCTTTATTTTATTTAATGACAGCCCCAAACCACAAAGTTTTATTACATTATATTTTTATAAGTGTTATATTTTATCATTACTTGTTGATCATCCCTTATCGTGCCTAATCTGTAAACTGAACTTTATTGTAGGCAAGTACACGTAGGGAAAAACATAGAGTCTATAGGGTTTAGTACTATTCACGGCTTCAAGCATCCACTGGTGTCTTGGAACATGCTCCCCTCAGATAAGGAGGGACTGCTGTGAATAATTCATTCCAGCAATTCCTGCATATCCTTGCTTCTCCCACATAACTCACAAAAGCAGAGTTGAAAGACCCCAGTTAAGGAATGGCTCTCATTTCATAGTTCAGCATGACTAACAGGTAGTATCTAACAACGCCCCTAATCTCCCAGATAAGACCCAAATACAATCCAAAGCCAGGTATGGGTGCTCTTGTGCCTTTCAGATATCTGATGAACTTCATTGAACTCAATCGTTATGTGTCTATAACTGTTCAAAGTCTGCCCACAGTATCTGTGACCTCCCTGGACTTCCACCTCCTCCATTCCTCTTGCTACTTTTATTTCTGGAGCGCTATTTATCTGATGACAACTTAGATAGGATATTGAACCCCTTCACCAGTTTCCACAAACAATTGATGCACTCCAACATAGAAAATTTAAAAATAACTTTGCAAATGATTAAGGAATCATGGGAGGGTTCTACTCTGTTAAACAGTTATACTCTACACTCTTCACTTATTTTTTCCTTCTAAAATGCAGAGTTCCAAACTCTCTTCACTTAGGCAAAGCCACTCCTCTCTTCTATGGCATTTAAGCATTTCCTAAAGCCATTCAATTCTTTGACTTCCTAAGTAGGCCTTTGCAAGCTTTTCACTGGCAACTATTACTGTCCTTTTAGAAGAATGCTGATTCCAGCCATTTATAGGACAGGGTGGAATATTCCATTTTGCTGCACAAGAAGTGAGGATTCTTATATGGAGTCCCTTGGCTATATTTACAATCAAAATCAA